TTTCTAACAGACTAAGTCCTCTACTTTTTCACTTTTACAGATTTAGCTGATCCACTCCTTTGTTTCTAAAACGCCAATATTCGGTGCTTTTCTCCTACTGACACAGTTTCCTTCACCTATTTTTATTGCTCTCACTTTATGTTCTTTTCTTCCTTCTCTAAGCCCAACGTTTTTCTTTTCTTTTCGTCCATTTTTATTTTAAGATGATGTTCTGTTTAAGGATTCCTCTCAGGAGATACAATGTAGTTCCTAGGACAACGATTTCACTTGTTTGGTCTTCTTTACTTGTTTCCTTTTTCTTGATTTCTGTAAATAATAAGCTTAAACTAACATTTACTAGATAAACAAAGTTTAATTGATGTAATGATTCCGTTAAATTTTAATCATAAAGGAATCATATTATCAAAAGAAATTGTTGAGTCTATCTATAAAAGTATTTATGATGAAATTGAATTATTAAATGGATTTACACAATATTCAATTGAACAAATCGAATGTTTCATTACATTAGAAGAATTTGTTAACGAAAAACTTGTTTTAGTCAAAGATACATTACAATCCATGATTTACGAGCAAATTGAAAATGAAATCAAAAAAATATATGATTCAGAATTACCAGATCTATATTCATGTCGAATACATTTTGTTTTAAATAATTTGACGATTATTAAAAATATTCAAGAAAAATTCAATCAAGAAAATCAATGGACATCTATCGGAATCAGGAAATTAGATTTTAAAAAATTCATCACGGATACAACTTTGAAAGAGATTAATGAAGAATTATTGAAAAAAAATAGAGATAATATCATGTTTAATTTCTATAAATTCTTGGCAAGATTTGATTTTTTATTAATTCAAATAACAAAGAGAGAATTTAATGATTCGAACAAAAATTCAATTTGAAAATATTGCTCAACATTTATCAGAAATATTTCAACAAGAAGATGATTTACTGAATAATTTTTCATATGAAATTATTCTAAAAACTAATCAAATTTTAAAACAATATTATTCGAATAAAATCTTGAGTATTTATAAAAGGATGAGTCTATTGGCACTCTCGGGAGTGTCAACTAGAAGCCATTAGTACTCTCAGGGAGTGCCAACAAGGAGCTATTAGCACTCCCAGCAACTGTTTGGGAGTGTCAACCAGAAGCTATTGCCACACCAAGGAAATGCCATTACACTGCAAAAATACAAGATTACAGTGGCGCCCTCAGAGAATATCCCAGTAACCGCTGTCTATCAGAGAAATTTGACCTTTGTAAATAAGAACTTTCAGGTTTGCTCCTTGAATTTAACAGGTTCATGTAATGAATTTGTGGCGCAGTTATTACTGTAAAAGTGCATAAGTGTGCATAAGTGTACTACACCAATTGTGCGCGATATTGTGTGAAATTTTCAAGTCGATTTGTTGTAGTCTTTCTGAGTTTTGACCATGAAAGCTATTGCGATGAAGATTGACCATAACGGTGGTATGATCACCGTTTGTAAATAGTTCAATGGACGTTCATCAAATTTTTAGTTCAGATGGGTACATACAACAGCTATATAATGACTGATTCTCCGACTCATAATGAGCTTCTATTTTTGAGTGAAAAGGTTCGCAATAGCATGAACTGCTACTGCTTATCACAGCTCATCTCCAACTTAATATATAAAGGTCGGCTTGCTATCACCGATCTACATATGTTATGTAGTATATGGGTGTGAGTAGCCGCCCTGATACCCCAAGATTTAGTAGCTTATGTAACTTCAATTCGCCAACAAAAAGATGTGATATTTTTATTAGTCGTAGTATATGTATAATGCTAATGATCTACTATTGTTTAAGCTCTATGTATTACTAGAAACGAGGGTTATCAAGTGTTTCCTTACAATCATCTTAGTAAAAGTATTCTATATCAAAAGATGGAGGCTTATCACATGTCACAACAGTCCTTCAAACTTCAGTTCAGGTTTCTTGAACGATATAGAACACTTTTACTAAGATGATTGTAAGGAAACACTTGATAACCCTCGTTTCTAGTAATGCATAGAGCTTAAACAATAGTAGACCATTAACATTATGTATATACTACAACTAGTAAAAATATCACAACTTTTTGTTGATGAATTGAAGTTACATAAGTAAATAAATCTTGAGGTATCAGGCTGCTCATGCCCATATGTACACAAATTTACAGCCTTATATCTCTTATAGCGACTAAAATATGAGGCGGATATTTGTGGCCAACTACTGTGACCAAGAACGATATGTCAGTGGACAATTTTTGTTGTTTTATGCCTTTATTCATTCTCAAACAAACAAGGTCAGCGGGGCGAACCCCATTATCAACCTTCAATGTATATATAAGTATAAAAGAAAAAGACTAAATAGTAAAAACCTAGACGAGAAAAAAAAAATTAATAAAACTAAGACAGTTTTTCAGCGAGCACAGCAGCTATGGCATTTGTTAATGTAAAATTATCAACGGTTGAAATTTCTTGTTTAGCAACACGTTCATTGGCTGTACCAGGTCTTGCTAAAAACGATAAAGAATTTGACGTAGCACGACGTTTTGGTTTACAAACGAACCACTTCTTCAAAATACAGATCAGGATAACGATTAATAATAGAATTAACACTACCAATACCAATGAAAAGACGGAATAGACAAACTTTAGAATATTCTTGTGTTTATCTAATTGTTTTGAGTGGTTGTCAATTCGTTCACGATGATTATCAATTGATTTAACAGTTTCTTCCACATGAGTTTTAATTTTATCGTAATGATTATCTATCAACGTTTTGGATTGTTCAAGCTGTGTTTTCGACGACTGAATAAGATTTTCAATTAAGATAGATGGTACATGATCTGCTGATTTACTTGCATAGGGAGGTTGTACACGTGATCCTTCGGTAATAATAATGAGTATTAAAACGCGAAATATATAAAAAATCATTTTCAGAATCATAAACTAGAAAAAAATACAAGTTAGTGCTTTAACAATTACTGTACGACCCGTTATATAGAAAAAATAAAACAAGAAATAGTTATGAGTTATGATGGAGAGTGGAGATAGAAAAATTTTAAAAATAATGCGCTGCTAGTTATTTTATTTATTTAATCGAAACGTTTTGTTTCATCTATGTATGTGGTAACCTCAATTAGAATCCTGCGCATAACATCATCATCAAAATTTAAGTCATTCAGTAGTAATACGTCTACACTGAGGTTGGAGAGAAGTTCAGTTTATTATGCAACACTGTACGTTCAGAAACGTATAACTGACATTTCAATAAATAATGGTCTATATCTTCAATGCTTTTACCGAAAGCACAGCGTCGGCTATCAACGCAATTACGTCTATACAAATAAGAATTTCAAGGAGAAAAACCCGATTTTAAGCGCATGAAGTTGATTTCGGCTTTTCTACTAGGAAAACGTAACTGCTTAGGAAACGAAGGCTCAGTTAAAAAAACATTAATCAGGAGTTCACGCAATTTTGTAATTTTTAGAGTAAGGACATTAGGTTGTTTTCCTATCAATTCATTCCAATCACATGCAACTAGGGAGAAAAAAGTCGTTTGGAACAGGTTCAACGATAGAAACCTAATTACTACGCAAGGCGTACCTAGTATTTTGTGGACGATACTGTAAATGATAAGTTAAATACTGCGGTACAAGGCCTTTCATGATTTTTGCAAAAAACAATAAACGCAAAATCTTAAAGTGTCATATCATTTCTTTTATACTAGTGAGGTAGGTTAAATGGTCGTGTTTTGTATATCAGTTTTCAATCCCTTAATAGGTTCTATTAAAAAAACAAAATACATCACAAGATGCAGCGTGAAAAGCTCTACAGTTTACATAAGAGCACTTTTCTAAAATAATTGGACATTTTGCTTTGAAAAATATTTCGGCCGTGCAACAGCGCTATTTCTTTTGTGCAAGATGAATTCATTTTCACTTATTTCATGGTTTTACCACCTATTATGTTATAGTAAATAAAAGCAAAGTATGAGGAAAGATGCAACATGAAAAGCTCTACAATCTGTATGGTCAATAAAAAGATGAACTACGAAAGAATAAATTTCTCGTTCATGTTATCTATTCGCAGCATCGAAATTTGATCGCTCAAAATTTTGCCCATTTTGAAAGCAAAACGTGCAACTATAAAAATAGAGCTTTTCACGCTCATCTTGTGATGTATTTTGTTTTTTTAATAGAACTTATTAAGAGATTGAAAACTGATATACAAAACACGACCATTTAACCTACCTCACTAGTATAAAAGAAATGATAGAGTACAACAAAGCACAAGACCTAGAAGTCTGAAATTTTGCACATAATCCTAAATATATCTGGGCATTATAGCTGTACAAGTAGTTCCTAGTCAAATCTTTTAATACAGCCAGGTGAAAAAACTTTTGTAGTGCCCTATGTAATTACATTGAGAGTCAGATATAATTTAGACATAGTTATGAAGATTTGAAACTAAGAGAAAGATTATGTCACACAAGTGTCATAAATTAGATTGGACAATTCCAAAAAACGATCGAACTTAAACCTTTCTTTCACATTAATTTGTTTCAACATATTTCTTACAATAATAGATAGCTTGTTTTAGATATATTTTTAGCTTAAGTGTTTGTTTTTTCAATTAGAATTTTTTTAGATAGATATAGTTTTAGATAATTTAATTCATTTACGATGCATATAAACTCGAAAAAACTTGACTTTGTTCTGCATAACGATGCCTACTATCATCTTCGTATGTAGTCCTATTCCTATGCTCGTTCTTAAGAATTTTTCTTTTTAAATTTTTAATTCATGCGCGAAAACAAATATATGTGGAATCTTTCTCAAGAAAAATTTAATTTAAAATATTAGTTACTACATTTGGACATTTCATTATAATTTTCCATATTTTTTTCTAATATCCTCTAATCTAACTATGTAAAATTCTACACCACGTTTATGTTTTCATTTTTATTGCATAATTTGTTCGTGTATGTACCTTGAACGTTTCAAGCTTGGACCATCTTCGCTCAGGGAAAAAAGTGGATCACAAATTTTACATAGAAAACCGAGATTTCTTCTGAATGATTTAATATTCTTTGATAAAAACTTCTGGATAAATGGTCCATATAAAGATACATCTTCCCTGAAAATTTCGTTGAAAATATTGCATGATTCGGGAGAAAAATGGATTTTATTAACTTTTCGTCCTATTATTTTATTAACTCAACCCCTATAAAGCGACGCTTATAACTCGGGAAAGAAACACTTTTAGAGCGCCATCTTTTGGCTGTAAGCGAGTCTACATTGGTTCTGTTTATGGTAAAAATTACAGCCCGATCGGTGACACGCGCATCTCGATCTGTCGGGTCCTATGTGATAATGGCTCTTAAACTGATAGATTCACATGGATTAATTGTCAGGATTTTATATGTAGATTATTGCTGAGTAGAAGAGCTAATTCTCTGTCGATCATAAAAATTTCAAAACAGAAACGGCTAACATTCGTTGAGTTAAATCAATTTTTCTAAGAAGGAGGTCAAGAAGAGACCGTAAGTTATAACTGTCTTAAATCGAGAGTCATTTGTAAGATTATACTAGATTTAGATGAATAGACAAGTCAATTATTGATTTTTTCTTTAGATATGATGTAAGGTTGATGAACATGTTATAGTAAAGAAAGTAACTAGTGGCTCCTCGCACTTGCTCCACTATTGCCGGACAATGTGGTAACCCTCTATTAGAAAGTTTCTCAGCAAACTATTGATGTACTTTATTACAATAAAATAAATAAAATACGTTTATCGTTATTAGTGGTTGTAAATTCTTCCTTTCAAATTTTATTTATTTAAAAGGAAGAGTTTACAACCAAAAACTAATTCAGTGCCCTTTCAAACTATCACACAGCGTTTATCGTTAGCAGAACTATTTTATATCCATTTTTTTTGTTCCATATAGTAGAATAAACGTTTGCTATGCAAAAAATATTTTGCATTAAACAAGATACGTTTACAGGTTCGGATTACGTTTGATGTTTTCTGAGTCGTGCAAATAATAACAATGCATTATTACGAATATCTAATAGTCAACGTAAGAAACAAATAAAAGCTGTGTAGACAAACCACACATGTGACGTTTAACGTACAGTTTTATTCTTTTTTGTTCGGCCTATCGGAACAGAAAACCAACAATACTCAGTACATTATGTTGGAAAAAAAGAGACAATGGTAATGTACTTTTTATACTTGAAAACATAGCATAAGTAAGGATTATTATAGTTTAACATCCATCAGTACGACTCCTATTACATATAGTATTATGTTGGAAATTCTACTTTTGCTGAGAGCTTTTCTTTTCTAATGAATGCAAAATTCAAAAAGACTCAACCCTCTAAAACATATAGCGGTCGAAAAGATGACCACAGTCATTATCAAAATGCTTGAACGGTGTTTTCTTAAAAACAGGATATGCAAACAATGCATATAATCTTATTTAAACTTAAACAGTACGACAGATGAGATAGTCTCAAAAAATTCTTTATTTGACAGATTTGCACTTATTGGCAAAATAAGAACTAAACCAGAGCATTGTACGTTCCTTATTTAACAGAGGTGCCAAATTCCTTTTACCTATCACACAGGTCAAAAAGCAAACTGTATACTTGATATATTATTAAAGAAACCGCTGGATAAAGTCCATGAACGTAATCAGTTCATAAGACTGACTTCGTAACATCTCAACTACAAAGATGGATTTGTATAGTTAATGATTGTTCTTGGTCAATTATTTTAGAAAACGATAGAATAACGTGTTAAGTAGTATCCATGGACATGAAAATACACAATATTTGACTAATGGGTTATGCATAAGTTTTACAACAAATGTCAAGCGCTGTTTCTCTATGCTCCTATTGTTCCAGAGACTTTGCTTTCTTTTTGTTTGAAAGAGCAAAGTCTAAACTGCAAAAAGTGTATCAGATAAAATTTTCTCTCAGCAAACTTCATTGAGAAACAATTCAAAAACTATACATCACTAAAAATAGTTTGGTTAAATTTTACTAAAACAAATCAAGAAAAGTTTTTCACTGATGTCAAAAATAAGAAGTTTTTGCTGAAATCAAATACACGAAAAAAATAGACCGTGAAAAATTCTATAGATCTGATCTCCTTAAGAATTTTCAAGTTACTTTTTTGTGGTTTTCTGAAACGCTTTCTAAAAGTCAGATTTTCTGAAAATAGAGATTTTGCGTGTAACAATTGGCGACTTCAGCAAAAGCGTCGGCTAAAATACGAAGTGAATAATATTAGTTTTTGTTTTACATCAGATTGTAGAAAATTGAATGAAGATCATTTTACAGTTCAAAAACTGAAAAAAAGTTCATCTGTTAGTTCAAGAATTGGCAATTAACGCTAATAAACTGATTTTCTAACGAGCCTCAAATAAACGATTATTTCTTCACAGAAACTGAATAAAAGGAAAATGTATTGCACACCATTCGAAAGAGCGTTTCAAATACTCTCAGATGTAATAATCAGTCATCCTTCAAGCTTATCCTTAAATCAGAAAGAACCGCTCCGAAGAAGATAGAGAGCGGACATTTTGACGATTTACCAGTACATTTTTAGTGATGTTTAGTTTTTAAATTTTTTTCAATGAGGCTTCGCAAGCGATATTTTATTTGATACGCGTTTGTAGTTTAGACTTTGCTCTTTCAAACAAAAAGAAAGCAAAGTCTATAGAACAATAGGAGCATAGAGAAACAGCGCTTGACATTTATTGCAAAACATACATAACCCGTTATGTAATGTGGCAATCGAGATACATCATATACCTAATTTCATTTCATTCACTATTGAATAATAGACCCTAGTATATCACATTCTTGCACAATAGCACGTTTCAACGCACGTGTACAAATTTTATCTCAGTTGAAAAATTCGTGAAGTCCATTTTATAAATTGTATCTCAGTTGAGAAACGAATTTTTTAGCAGACAGATTGGTTTCTCAACTGAGATACAATCCATATTTTAATCAAGTATCTCAATTGAGTCCAAACCAGTGATATACAACTAAATCATATAAGTTTTATGCTTTTAGTATGACTCTTATAACTGTGAACCAGTATTTTGAGAATGCAAGCCAACCCATCTTGCAAAATGATTGTTTTCATCAATTTTTATCACGGTATGTTTATCACATCTATGTATATGATGACCTTGGTTAAGCATGTACATATTTTCTTCTCATTGTATTTAGAATTAGTCAAGCACACACAATGCACTCAGCACACAAATTATAACAAAGGATTACGTAGAAACCACCAGAAAAAAATAAAATAAAAAATTCGGCTTGTAACTAATAAAGTGTGAAGCTATAAAGGTGATCAAGATTACCATTGTTATTTAAAAAGACTCATTTATTTGTAGAAAAAAGAAGATTGTTGAATATTAGTGAAGACCATCATTAACAAGGGAAGCAGTGCGATCTGAATCATTATGGATTATCAGCCATATTCATCTGCAAGCGATGGGGTTGTTTCTGAGCGTCATCACCATCATCATCATCATTCCAACCATTCACACTCAGGTTTATCTGTTTAGAATTTCGATCTTGTTTGATTTTAATCTCAGAGAAATGTTTGTTTAGATGACCTTACTAATCCGCCGGAAGGAACTGTGCTAGTTACGCATCATCATCATCATTCTCGTCACCATCATCATCATGATGACCAAATCCAAGATCTATCGGCACAACAACCATCTTATCCTCAAATTAACCAGTTTCAGCCAACACAAAAACCGTATGTGCAACCAGCGCCGTTACACGTATCTCCTCCAGTACAATACTATGAACCACCCCCAGTGATCGTTGAGCAACCGATTGTTCAAAGATCACAATATCATTCAGAAGTAATTGATAATTATGTTAGCCCAGAAGCATATTCAACTGTTACTGATTATCAGCTACCGACTGCTCAGACATCACTATACCATTCAGATGTAATTGATAGTTATATTAGTCCAGACGCATATTCGAATGTTGCTGATTATCAGCCACTACCATGGCATCCACCTCCTCAGCGACCACTACCACCACGTTTCAGACGTCCACCACCAAGGTTTAGACCTCCACCTCCATCAGTGATCTATCTCAACGGTCCACCATTACAACCGGTATCTCTTGATCTACCACCATCAGGGTATATTGATGTACCACCGCCGCCATCACGACCGGTATCAGGTAGAATAGCAATATCTTCTAATCACATAGTCTAAATCATGTTGCATTTCCAGCTTGCAATGATATATGTGGCGGTCAACTTAGAAGAATGCATAACAAAATAAATCAGCTTGCAATGCATGTTATTGAATTGGAAAATAGATTGGCAGCGTCGAAACGACAGCCGCCATTTCATTCCAGGAGACCTACTGGTAAATTGTTGCTCTTCTAACTATCGGAGTCATGTTAAGTTCATTCATTTTGTTCGTTTAGAATGCTATCCTCCTCCAAGATATCCATGCATCAAGGAGTATATATCTTCTAGTTCGTGAAGTTTTATGTTCTTCATTACTTTTGATTTTAGACGAACGTTTGTATATTGTTGAACGGTATACCTACAATGGCACAACAAGAAGCTGTAAACAGAAGATACGAGACATTATAACTAAAATGATTATCTTTATTTGCTTCAATTATTTCTAAATTAGTTTTAAAAGTTATTGTAGTAGTATTGACTAAATAAATAGATTATATCCAATAAATAGATGTATATCCTAAATCATACTTTAAACAAGATATTTGATCAATGGACCCTATCGGATTTCAAAAGTGTCTTGATGATTCATATACCAGGTTTTGTACAGCTCTTAACGGCGGATCTAACGGGGTATTGGGTTTCGGCTGATTCCTTGTGGTTACGGTGAGCGGGGTACCCCAACGAATTTGATTCTGGATAGACCTAGCGTAAGAGGAAAGGTTGGATTTTGTAATGAACTGCAACAAAATATGATTTTATCCCTGTTCTTGTAGAGCAATGAGCGTTCCACAAATTATTATTTCATAGACATTAGCATCTGGTTCTTGTAGGAGAAACATGTCCGTTTTTTAAAAAATCGATCATATCCATTTTACGTGTATACAGTATAATGCTCGTAAAATCTAATCCAGATACAGAACTAAATTCTATTTGCGTCAGAAACGGCGTGAGTGTGAACTCTGTCTGCCCACGTTGATTTGGGAGTCTGATTCCATCTTGGTCTAGGAAAATTAATTTTTAACTGGGAAAAAGTAAGCCATGCAGGTACTTTTTAGCCTGAACTTGATTTTTTGTGCTCGCTTTTGTCCATTAACAAGTTTTAATATCAAATTCGTAATCTACGAACGAAACTATGTTGTAAAGTATTATACATGCGGTCAAAGCACAAAAAAATTTCATAGCGTTAAGGATACTCAATGCCTGACATACTCAGGGACCTGAGCGAAGGCTATTTCTGGAAAGACGCATATTCACTACTCGAGTCAAAAGTAGTTTTGTACAAGAACAGATTCAAGCATTAGAGAGCGTATCTTCTAGCAATTATCATTCTGCTAAATGAAAAAGAACCGTATCGTATTGCTGCATTTTATAATAAATTGTTTCAATTAATTTATCGGAATGGCTATCAGCACTCACTCCCAAGGAGTGTCAACTAGGAGCTATTGGTAATCCCATGCAAAAAACGACGTTTAAACATTCCTCGAATTATACTCTGACTCGCTAGATTCCGATTGTATATTCGGATTTTGACTAGCATCTCGCTCATCGGGGAGGGAGAAGAGCAGGTGGATAGTGAGAGTTAGTGAAAAGCTGAAAATCTAATACATGAAAATCGGGATAAGAAAGACTTATAATAAGAGGAAAATTTCCAGTATGCAGTGTCATGTTGAACACTCAATCCAACCATAGTTGCAGCAAGCCGGTGAGTTTAAACAAGTTTAACATTGCGGTAGACTATATAAGAAAGCACTGCAGATTGGAATACTGAAATATCGGATAATCTCCTTACTGACACCCCTTGCGGGTGTCAATACCAATTTTTATCTATTCGATTTTTAGCTGTTTCGCTTACTTTCACTCTCCTCCTGCCCTCTCTTCTCTCCGATGCGTGAGATGCCCGCGACGGCGCGAATAAAATGTAAATCCGAATCTTGCGAGTCAAAGTATAATTTGAGAAACGCTTAAACGTCATGTCGATCATACGTCGTCCTTATTTATACTACCAGTGAAGTGTTTTGCATGGGAGTGTCAATAGCTTCTTGTTGACATTCCCTGGGAATGCCAATAGATTCACCCTTACTTTATATGTTCGTTGAACACCTTTATGTTCAAATTTTCTTACTATAGATCACTGATTTATGAAAAGAATCAAGGCCCCCCCCCCCGAAAAATTCTTTTTTTCTCCAGGTCTTACGGTTTAGGAGTTTTGCAGAGATCAAGGTCCAAAAAGGATCCCAAAGTGCGTCCCAAGATTTTTTAATATACTTCAAGCTGGAGAGTTCGGGTTTGTTTTATTTTAAACTAGACACCTAACTACATCGACTGACCGGCGCCGATTTTTTAATTAAGCCTTTATTGGTTTTCCAGGCAACCAACAACCTCTGAAACCCGAAAAAGCCTTCCAAATTTTCTAAAACTCCTCAGTTTGACAAAAAACTAAGACCTAATTCAAAAATCGGCGCTTGTCAGTTCACGTAGTTTCTTTTCCTCTTTTAAACAAAAGAAGGATGAACTCTCTACGACAAACTGCTATTAAAAATCTTCGGACACACTTCAAGTATAACTTCCATGTAGAGAAAACGCTGTATTAAACGTTGTATAAAATGCTCAGTTTTGGGACTTCTAGGAAAATGCCTGTAACTTTTTATGCAAGGTCATACAGAGTTGTACGAGATCTTATTTTGATCAGAAAAGTTTGCTCTATAAATTTATCTGTTCAGAAAAATTTTAATTGCATAAGTATCCAGGAAAAACTATTGTTTGAAGATCCGGTTTTTCGAGGCTTCTAGAAAACTTGCTCAGGATCTGCGAAAAACTACTTTTGTAACCAAAAGCGATACAGATTCTGAAAGTCAACACTTCAGGCTATCTTTCCATGTGCGTATCGCAAAACTGATGTTTTTGATCGAAAATTCCCATTTCTGAGGGTGGATGGTGGTGGGGGGACCTTAAGCTCTAGAGAATAACTTTGTATGCTAATATCAAAGTGTGTTTCAATAGTACTTTCACTATCATCAGCATACACATCTTCATAGATTTCTAAAGACTGTCGATAATGTTTTACAGCGTATAAATAATTATTTTGAATATAAAAAAGCTCACCAAGTTTTGAATGGACCTTTGCTATATAGTTGAGATTATCGAAGCCTCGTAAAGCCTGTTCATAGTACTCAATTGCACGATTTCTTCGTTCAAAATAAACATCTCTTGCTGACTTTAATACCATTGGATCAATTTCCGGTATACACTAGTGTATCCAAACAGATAACGTATATTTTTAATAATTCCGATCGTGTCCGTGTTATAGTGTAAACTACCGAGTGGTCCAGGGAAAATGGCAGTGTCAGTATTTTGACTATAACTTTTTTCTTTTCAACCCTTAGACCTGATTGTTTTTCCAAATGATGCCCCGTACCAAACTTGATTAGACTTCTAGAGAAAGTTAAGGAGAAAAATTAAGCGAAGAATACTCGAATGTCTATCATATACCACAAATTCTGGTACCCTGAATCAGTCCCTAAATTATATCTACATTTGTGGATAATTCAACAATTAAGGTCAGTTCTGGTCACCAAGTAGGGAAGTTTTTAATGTAAGATAAACCACATATACAGTAATTCAATACCATCCCAGTACTCATACCATATTGAATATCTGTTATTCATTAGTTTTACAACACAAATCGAAAATTTTACTGTCTATAAATCAATTTTGGTGATCAGAATTGTTTTTTATTTATTCTCTCTATTTCCTTACATAAAGCGTGAGCATTGTAGATAAAAGTTACGATAAACCCTTCAGAGAAGATAAATATTTAACTCACAGTCTCATGATAAAATATTTGCATCTGGTGACCAGAATAGAATTAAAGTAGAGCTACGGAGTGGGCTTGCAAAATTAACCGTTCCTTTACAGCGAAAGGCTTGCTCATCTCTGACACACTGTTTTTTCTGGGTTAGACTTGATCACTACTTTGTTTTAAAAGAGAATATCGGATTTAGTTTTTAAATGAATTACAATGAAAAAAAAGGATAAGATTTAGACTTCTGCATTGCGCTTGGATCTGGTGACCAGATCATGGTGTACGAACACGTAACATTTGAATGAGATTTGTGTTATAAAACTAATGAATAACAGGTATTCAGTATGGTATGGTACTAGGTTGGTATTGAATTACTGTATATGTGGTTTATCTTATATTAAAAAAATCCCTAAATTGAAAAATCCCTACTTGGTAACCAGAACTGATCTTAATCGTTGAATTATCCACAAATGTGGATATAATTTAGGGACTGATTCAGAGTATCAGAATTTGTGGTAAACGATAACCAACCGAATACTCAACATATAGAAACGGACCAACTTTCTAAGCTATTTTGATTTACAAACTTTCGAGATTTAAAACAACTCTAAATTCAACAAAGCAGAAGTGAAAATGTTTTTGAGTACTTTCAAATATGCTCTTTCTCGTCATGCAGTTCAAAGTTTGTTCGAGTCAAAATGAGCGTTGAAAAATCTAACGTTCTAAAATTTATTTCAAAATGACCAAACTCTGCTTTTTTTTCGTCAGCTGAATTTAAGAAGAAAACTTTAAGGCAAACTTTCGCCGTTGAATCTGGTACGGGAGTTATTTCTCGTCAAAATTGAAAAAATCCAAGCTCAAAAAATGCTATATTGACTTCGTTATGCAACGTTTTTCAGGAGCTCCAAATCTACGGAATCAAACAGCACACTTTCCGAAAGTCTCAAAGAAGAGAAAATCGGTGCAAGTCTCAAAGATTGATTTAACATTTCTAAATCTAATATTGGTTGATAGAGCTTTTCAAGGACCATAAAATGCGTGTGTTATCTTCTTTTATATCACGTATCTTCATGAAAGTAGTTCGACAAAACAATTTTCAGATTAGAAAGTTGGTCTGTTTCTACATGTTGAGTATTCTTCGCTTAATTTTTCTCTGTAATTTTCTCTAGAAATCAGTCTAATCAAGTTTTGTAGAGAGTTCGACGGCGCACCTTTTGGAAAAACAATCTGGTCTGAGGGTTGAAAAAAAAAGTTATAGTCCAAATACTGACACCACCATTTTTCCTGGACCATCCGATGATGTATAATAGACGGTCAATGATGATTAAACCAAGATTAAACCAACGTGTGATGAATCACACATTTTAACGGAATGGCTATTGCCACCACCGGTGGTGTCAACAAGGAGCTATTGCCACCATCGGTGGTGTCAACTACGGCTATTGCCACAGCCAAGTAAAATCAAAGAGTAGGTGATGTCAACTACGGCTATTGATCAAGCTAATTTTTAAGAATGGGGCTGTCTACTCCTGAGGGGTATGTAATCCTGAAGGCTATCGGTTTGCAACTTCTGGGGCCATGTTTAATGACTTTCATGTTCTTCTTATATCAATTTAAGTGCTTTGTTTGTTCTGTGATAAATACACATTAATCTGCCTTGCTATCTGTCGAACCGTTTATGCTGTGGTTTACCGTTCTCATCAAGTCGCCAACCATAAACAAAACGTTTAGAAATTGACCTTTTCGGAATTGCTAGAAAATTGAAATACTGGAAGAAATTGACACCTCCTGGTGGTGGCAATAGAGCTACCCATATTTTAATGAGGATGATTTCCAGTGATATTAGAATGTTAATTGTCATGGTATTGCGAGACACTTAAGGCCATGTTTTCTTATTATTTCTTTGAATAATTGTTTTAACCTCTACGGTTTATCTTCTTTCACTTTGTTTGTACAAGTACGTTGGAAATTTATTTTTA